TGTGTGTGTGTGTGTGTGTGTGTGTGTGTATATATATATATATATATATATATATATATATATATATATAGGACCAATAAAACTGTAAAATGACCACGAGAATTCTTCAGAGAAGCATAGATCCACCCACCTCTTATCTCAAATGACAACTTAAAAGAGACTGTTTAACCAACACAAGGAATGTTAAAAAATTCATGTTAAAAAGATAAAAAAAATAAAAAAAACAAATGAAAACTACAGACAAAAGTTCATTTTCTCCAGCAAGACATTCATTTCTGTAGTTTATTGCTACCAGCAAACAGAAATAATTCTTCTCCTGATGATGGCCATTTTGGCCGAAACTAGTCGAGGAATCTAAATGGAATAATAATAATTGAAAAAAAAACGAAAGAATATTAATCTACAACCCAGTGTGTCTGAAGATTTAATTTGTTAATATTTTTTATTGTTCAAAAAAAAAAATATATATATATATATATGAAATCAAGTAGAAAACCTTAAAGAATCATTTCATTAAAGAATCATATTCGTCTTTTCAGACCGAAGTCTTTTATTAAATGAGAGACATTTACTAAAAGATTTCTGAAAAGATAAATATATAGAGATAGTCACGAAATAAATTATTACCGAAATTAATCTTTGAGGTTTTCTTCTTGATTATTATTATTATTATTATACTCTGTAGTTTACACTGAGTTATCCTGGATTAATATCCTCTTTGGAATTTTCCCTACTAGTCACAAATTGCTAATATATATATATATATGTTAGACATTTCCATGACGGTCGTCCTTGAGTATTGAATCTAGAGGTTGGCAGTGAATATTTCGGAGACAGTAGGAAAGCGTACTTTAGGTTCGCAGTGGATATCACAGCAGAGTGTAGTTCATCCTTCTCCTGGTCGCCTTTGGTCCTTCCGGTAGACGAAACAAGATGGCCGCCTTTATACACGATGAATACAGTGTTGGGCGGCTTCTGATTGGTCAACCTTCCATTGGTCGACTATAAAGGGAAATAAGTCATTCTGACTCGCTCACTAGTTATAAGTATATATACCCAAAAAACCGTAACAATATATATATATATATATATATAACGTCATCCACAGACAGACTGTTTCGCAGCTCATCAGTGTGGCTAGACATCCGGTTGCCTCTAGCCAGGATCGAAACCCGACTGAATTGGTGTCAGTCGTAGATTCTAACCATTAATCCGTCGTGAATTTTTTTAGCGTATTATTATTTTTAGAAACACGCCCAGTGACCGACAGTGACTCAATTCGCATCTGCGAAGAGTCTCGCTATATAGCTATAATAGTCACTGTTTACCAACCCACACCTCGTCCCCAGAGAGCTCAAATGAAATTGATATTTCAGGAGCCAATATAACGTCATCCACAGACAGACTGTTTCGGTGTTTCACAGCTCATCAGTGTGGCTAGACATCCGGTTGCCTCTAGCCAGGATCGAAACCCGACTGAATTGGTGTCAGTCGGAGATTCTAACCATTATATATATATATATATATAAAGGGTGTTCCAATAACTTGGACCGATTTTAAAAGTGAATTAAGTTTAAGCGTATGATGTGTTTTTTCTTTTTTCTTTCAGATTTAACAACTTAAGTCTTTGGCAATTTCAACCATGGAAAGATTAATAATCAAACAACGTATTAAAGTTATCGAAGCCTATTACAAAAGTGGACGTTCAAAGAGAAATGCATTTCACGCACTTTTTTTTTTTTGTTTTTTTGTTTTTTTTTGGCCAACATATATGTAGCGTTGTTGTGGAGAGGTTCATTTCTTGAGGGCGATGACGAATAGAGGGGGGTCTGGATTTTCGGCCACATTCTCGTGCACTGCAGCAATGTTTTCAGCTGGAGGGCCTAAACGAGCACGCAATGGGGTCTTTTTTTCACATCTGCCACCGACCCAGTTTGTTTGAATTTACGAACAATTTTTCCAGTTACACTCTTAAAACTTTAACACGTTATTTGATTGTTAATTTTTTCATGGTTGAAATTGCCAAAGTTGTTAAATCTGAAAGAAAAGAAAAAAAAAATTAGACGCTTAAACTTGGAACACCCTTTCCCCAAACTTAATAAAAACAAAATTTTATCTCCAAAATCTTTGTTATTATTAAGAAGAAACAACAAAAGATTTTTTGATTACTAAATTTTATTTTTTTAATCGATTTTAGAACATTCAACATTTTGGTTAAAATGTCCTTTTTCTTGTATCATCGGGTGACCATAAATTAGTGTAGAAAAATTTAGGGTCTTTTTGCAGTAAAAAAAAACACAATGATTTAGAAATTCTTGCAAAAATCAAATAATTGTCGGATGTTAATGAATGGAATCATTTTAGAAATGTTTTCTTTTAAGAAGATCTTGGTAAAAATATTATTTTTTACATCTGTTACGCCCTACACCACTTATTTAATTCATGAACTTTCGAGAAATTCAATTTTTAGCGCTTAATATAAATATATCTTTATTACACT